GGGCTGACAGAGCACCCAGAGCGGCTCCCTGGACTGCATCAGAGCGCTAGCCGCAGCTCCCTCCCCGCCTGCACGCCCGCCCACTTGTCTGTGGCTACCTGGACGGCAGAGCGGACAGCTGCAGCCAAGCCAAGTAAGACATCCCCCGAAAATAAGACCTACTGTCTTTTTTCGTAAATAAATATAATGAAATAATTTAAAAAAGGTTTTTACAGACCCCACACCCATGCACACAGTATATCTTTTAGATTTCATGGAGAAATTGGAGAATGTATTGTGTTTACATGCACTGAAAATACATTTTTGCATTGGTCACTGCAAATAAAGTTTTCTTAAAAAATGTGCCTGTATGTGTGGCCTGAAATCATTAGTCTGTATTATTTTAGAAAAAGTGTTGCATGACGATAAACACAAATATATCAGTACTTGGACAAGTATCAGTACTTGTACTTGAAAAAATGGTATCGGTGCTGAAAACGGGATTGTTGTTATCTTACCCCATTCTGGAGCTTTTAAAAATATATAAACTGTAGATAATTGCTATATGTTTGGGGACTGGTGATAACACATCAAGAGTATGATTATATATTTCCTTTCCTATGCCCCAGGAATCATACTTGTATTACTATTACAAGTTTTCAGTATTATCTTCCTTTTATTTTTTTGTTTTTAAAATAAATACTTTTTTAATGTTTTCTTTATTTATGCACCTCCTTTTTAATGTTTAAGCTAAGACATATACATTTTACCTTAGTGCACACGATACAGTGAACCTCTAATCTTTTAAAATTAAATTTTTTAGACATTCCTGCTTTTACTTTTTTTTTTACCATGAAAAGACTCTTCTGTGCACCTGTCTGATTTATGTACTTTTTTTTACCATGAAAAGACTCTTCTGTGCACCTGTCTGATTTATGTACTTTTTTTTACCATGAAAAGACTCTTCTGTGCACCTGTCTGATTTAGTAGAATTTCGTTTTAGAAAAAATTGCTTTTTGGAATGTTCATTAGATTTTTCTAATAGTGAGGTCAAATTGACTTTTAAAATCTTTTTTAACCACAGTGACAAAAAATTTAAAACATCAGGATGTAAAAATTCCATTGAATGAACAAAATATTAAAAGGTAAATGTGGTTTTCATTCAGGAAACTCCTGTTATTCCAAAATCGAATGTTAAAATGTATATTTTCAACTACATTCTACAAGTCTCTGATAGCATTATCAAATGCTCTCACAAGATTTTTTATATTACGAAAATCTACCAGTGTGTGGCCAGCTTTAGTTTCACTTTGTTAGTCATGCCTGATTTTACCTGATTTTATAGCTAAGTTCCACTATCTGCCATACCCCTTTCCAATCAAAATGGAAGGGCTTTGCTATGTAGTCATAAAAAGTCAGTCCTAAGTAACAAAGTAAAACTAAAAAAGAGAGGAGTATAGAAAAACTTTTCACTTTACCCCTTTGCAGCTACATCCAATCATGTGCACTAAATGAGAAAAATGTTATCATAGTGACAAATTGTGATCCTAAGACACTAATATACAATGTTTATGCCATTAAAACCATTTTTTTAAAATAATATAATTAGCATAAACCTACAAAATATTTATCAGTCATTTAGTATACTGCAGAGAGTATGCACTTCTGATTTATAATAGGTGTGATCTGCATCAGGGACTTTTGGCTTTAATTGATAAAACTACAGTTGAGGCCCCTAAATCATATAGGTTGAAAAAGGTTTAATATAGACAATGAATAGTTACCCCTTCATGGCTGCTCCTGGATGAGACAGTATCTCTTCTCTGTTAAGAAGTAACTGAAGATATATAGCTTGTCTGAGGCAAAGTTCAGAGCCCTACCCATTTGCGAACTTTGATCTCATCTGACAAGATGGGTGTGAATTGTTTCTTTCAATGTGTTTTTGTCCCTCTTTCTTTTTTTATAAATTCTTTATTGAACAGTTTCATCCGTATAACAAAAAAAAAAGAAACAGTAATCAAGGGAAAAAGGATTAAGCCGTCGAAGGACCGACAGGCGGAGTCGAGGGATCTTACCTGCCCATATGAAGGAGGATATTGCTGTTTGGAGGGAGCGGAAATAGGACCGAGGGATATGAATTGGTAGGGCCTGGAAGGGATAGAGGAAGCGTGGAAGGACGTTCTGTTTTACAACATTACACCGGCCGGACCAGGAAAAAGTGTTCCTGGCCCAGCCCTCTAGGTCCGATTTAACCTTCAATAGCAGTGGTGGGAAGTTTAGACTGTATAGTTGGGAGAGATCTCGGGGGAGCTTTACGCCTAAGTATTTGAGGGCGGTGGGAGTCCAGTGGTAAGGGAAGTTCCGCTGAATACGAGCTAGCATCCGTGCAGGTACCGTCAGGTTGAGGGCCTCCGATTTTTGGGCATTAATGTGAAAGTTGGCAAGGTCGCCGTAGTGGCGTAGGGCACCGGACAAGTTAGGTAGCGTGATGTCGGGGAAAAAGAACACAGGGAGGAGGAAGGCTAAGGCGTGAACCGGAGTTCGGCGTCCCAATGGCCCTGAAGGCACTCTTGGGACCAACTAGTGGGGGTAACGAATCTGCACCCAGGCGGAGCGTTGCTCCGTGGGTACCATGAGGAAGCATAGTAAAATCAACATTTCAAACATCACGTAAAACAACATCAACTGCAAATAACATGACCACCTGACAGGGCAGTGGTATAAGTTGTGTTATGTCGTCTGTAAGGTATCGGCACCACGGAGCTCTCACGCTATGCGACTTATTCCGCCATGTGCAGGACACGCCCCCTCTTGTCCCTCTTTCTTAACATTAACAAACTGTTATGATGGTGTCTGGCTCAAAAGATTATAGAAGAAAAATATTTTGCTATTCTTGAAGCTTTACCTGGCCATTTGCTTTATCAGCAGGTCATACTAGTGGGGTGCATTGCCAGGGCTGGGTAACAGGTTGATCCAAAGGGCCATAAAACTAAGAAATATGTCTGGCTATAGCTGGTGCTTTATGTCAGTAATGTCATTATTAAGATAGAATTCCGCGCTAAGGATCTGGTAATTTAATACAAACAATAACAAGCTGCTATGAACAAAAATGGATAAAGTGAATATAAAACACACAGCGCTAAATATCGATCAATAATGGCACATGCCAATCGTGTACAAAAACGCGAAGTAATCGGCCAAAATTTAAACAATTCAAAATATCATAAATAATGTGTGTAAGTGTAATGTGACCCCCAACTCAAAATAGAAGGGTCATCTTGATCTTCCTAAATATCAGTATTAAGTCACCAAGGACAAGTGTTTAAGGCAGGGGTGCCCATTAGGTAGATCATTAGGTAGAAGCTGATGCTGGTAGATCACGATTGTAAGTTGGCTCACTATCCCGAGAACCCTCCTATGGTCTGTTTAGCCCCTCCCCGTCTGCTGCGTTTGACACATGGAGGCACATGGAGGCAGAGGCCGACAGCATGAGAGCAGCGACTTTAGGATAGAGTTATTTCACTTAATTTTCATTCCCTTCTATTTTCAGTTGAGGTCACATTACACTTATACACACTATTTATGATATATTTTGGACTGTTTACATTTTGGCGATTCTTGGTGTTTTTTGTACACATGATTGGCATATGCCATTATAGATCGATATTTAGCTTCATGTCAGTAATGGCATGCACTGGACTACGCAAAGACAAGACTAAGGCATGGGTAAAAACAGAAGCCGCACTCTACAGATCTTCTAACTTGAATCCACACTTTATTAGTGTGCAAATAACAGATACACCCTACAAACTCTCCCCAGATCCTCTCACACCTTTGTTGTTGAAACGCGTGAAAGGATCTGGGGAGTGTTTGTAGGGTGTATCTGTTATTTAGACAGTAATAAAGTGTAGAAGATCTATGGAGTGCGGCCTCTTTTTGTACCAGTGCTACTACAGGTGAAAGCGCACCTTTTCTTTGCCAGCAACTGAGAGACCTGCATTGCAGGAGTCTATGCATAGAATTGGAGCGGTAAGTGAGTGGAGTGAAGTTTAAGGCATGATACATTTGTAATAGCGTCACAACACTGTGCAAGGAGAGCAGAACATTGTAATAGCTTGGTATTAGGCTGAATTGATAGATGAATACAACCGTGACTACAGCACCAGCGCCTTGGACAGGTGACTGCATAGTATTGCTAACACTTTGTTGCTTTTAAAAGGAAAAGAGTAAATGGATGACCTTATCAGTGTGCTATTGCTCCTTCATTCTGCATACAGCAGTCTGAAGGCTAGCAGGTATTTAATGAATTTTAACAGCCATTTTTCCCACAGTCAGAAAGGAGGGGTTAAAACCCCTGTTGGTTTTTGTTCTATTGGGTAGAGTTCCCTTTACTTCCTGTCTCATAGACACTATAGGACAGGGGTGCTGCTGCTGGCCGGGTGCAGTTCTCTGACTTGGATGACAGGTGGCGCTCTGTCCTGGCTGAGCCCTTGCAGCTGCTCCACTCTGGGGAAGCCTGAGAGCAAGGCCCTGGGGCCAAACACATCAGACACAGTCTAGGGCCGGGTAAGTGGTGTTCTTTATCAGAGGAAGGGGCATTGTGTACCGCAGGCTATGCACTGTATGAGTGTGTGTGTGTCATTATATATACACACACACACACTATATTGCCAAAAGTATTGGGACACCTGCGTTTACAAGCACATGAACTTTAATGGCATCCCAGTCTTAGTCCGTAGGGTTCAATATTGAGTTGGCCCACCTTTTTGCAGCTATATCAGCTTCAACTCTTCTGGGAAGGATGTCCACAAGGTTTAGGAGTGTGTCTATGGGGATGTTTGACCATTCTTCCAGAAGAGCATTTGTGAGGTCTGGTACTGATGTTGGACGAGAAGGCCTGGCTCGCAGTCTCCGCTCAAATTCATCCCAAAGGTGTTCTATCGGGTTGAGGTCAGGACTTTGTGCAGGCCAGTCAAGTTCCTCCACCCCAAACTCGTTCATCCATGTCTTTATGGACCTTACTTTGTGCACTGGTACGCAGTCATGTTGGAACAGGAAGGGGCCATCCCCAAACTGTTCTCACAAAGTTGAGAGCATGAATATGTCCAAAATGTCTTGGTATGCTGATGCCTTAAGAGTTCTCTTCACTGGAACTAAGGGGCCAAGCAACCCCAACCCATAATCAACCCTACACCATAATCCCCCCTCCATATACCTCCATGGCCACAGGTGTATAAAATCAAGCACCTAGACATGCCGATTGCTTCTACAAACATTTGTGAAAGAATGGGTCACTCTCAGGAGCTCTGTGAATTCAAGCGTGGTACCGTGATAGGTGCAGTAAGTCCATCTGTGAAATGTCCTTGCTACTAAATATTCCACGGTCAACTGTTAGTGGCATTCAGCACCATATGTCCCTTCTACGTCCAGGTAGGCCGTCAGTCTTCTCAGCCCACCCTATCAAGGTTATACTCAAAGGGAGGTTCAGAAGTTCCGGCCAAGGTCTAGTGTTACTTGCCTTCCTGTCTCCATAAAATGTTCAGAGACCTTGACCAAATGCTTTCTTGGTCCCCCTTTGGTGAACTCCCCAGGCTAGTTTTGTAAGCAGCCATCTGTTTGGTGTTCTTAGGTTCCCTCAGACCCAGGGAGTGTACTGTCCCCAGGTCACAAGCCCCCGCTCTTGCCAAGAGACATCTGATTCAGTTGGAGATGGCTCAGGCATTTGCTAAACTTCTTGTGTGGATTTGTTCGCTTTCAATAGATCCTGTTGTCCATCCCTACAGGGTCATTTTCTGCCCCCTTATTTTGCATACTGACCACGGCATACCTCAGGTCAAGTTTAGGCAGGTTCATCATCTCAATGTTCACGTACGTATCAGTGGGGGCTCTGACTACAAGTGTTAGGCTAACTTGTTAGCTGTATTTGTGGGAGGAGCCCCACACATTTAAACCCCCCTGTTTCCCCTGCTCACCTTTGGCTACGTGCGCGACACCCCACCCGCCCTTACTCCTTGTGATAACATTTTACTCTTTGAGTAGGCCCCCTTATTTTGCGTAAAGAGCATAGTGACCACGGCACACCTCGGGTCGGGTAGTGTGGAAAAAAATGATTTGATCCCCTGAAGATTTTGTAAGTTTGCCCACTTACAAAGAAATGAAAGGTCTATAATTTTTTTTATCATCTGTGTATTGAAATGATATCAACCAAAAAATCCAGAAAAAACACATTATACAATGTTATAAATTGAGTTTGCAGTTCAGTCAGTAAAATAAGAATTTGATCCCCAAGCAAAACATGACTTAGTAAAAACATGGAGAAACCCCTGTTGGCAAGCACAGATGTAAGACGTTTCTTGGAGTTGGTTACCCGGTTTGCACACATCTCAGGAGGGATTTTGGTCCACTCTTCTTTATAGATCTTCTCTAAATCCTTGAGGTTTATTGGCTGTTGCTTGGCAACTCGAAGTTTCAGCTCCCTCCATAAATGTTCTATAGGATTAAGGTCGGGAGACTGGCTGAGCCACTCCATGACCTTAATGTGCTTCTTCTTGAGCCACTGCTTTGTTGCCTTGGCGGTATGTTTTGGGTCATTGTCATGCTGAAAGACCCATCCACAACCCATCTTCAGTGTTCTGGCTGAGGGAAGGAGGTACAGAGATCCTCCATGTATCCTCTTTTCCTCCTGCATAACGTCCTTGCCAGGTGTCTCACTGTCTCTGCAGTCTTCCTCCCAGCCTATGGTAGCTGAGCTGGGCGGAGGAAGCTGCAGAAGACAGCGGAACTGAATGTCATCGACAGGGATAGGCACGGACCAAGGCTGTGGCGGACAATTTCCAAAGTAGAGACCTTAGTGAAG